ACAGGACAAGGGGAGACGGCTTCAAGCTAAAGGAGAGGAGGTTTAGATAGGATATAAGGGAGAAGGTTTTGACAATACACGTGGTGAGGCAGTGGCACAGAGATGAGGTGGGTGCCCAGCCTTGCAGGCACTCAGGTCAGGCTGGGGGCTGTGAGCACTGATGGAGCTGTGGGTGTCCATGCAGAGGAGCTGCACCCGTGGGTGCACTGCAGGAGGTTGGGCCTGATGGCCTTTAAGGATCCCTTCCAACTCAAGCCATTCCATGGTTTAAAATTGGTGTATGGAGATGTCGTGTCTCATCCCAAATGCTGGGCTTCAGTCTCTGAGTGAGTTACAGAGAGGAGTTACAGAAAGAGAATGGCAAGGGTTGGTGTCAGGGTGTGCTGAAGGCAGTGGATGTGGGGGGGGGGGGAGGGGGTGGTGGTGAAGAAGGAACACTTCATTGATGAACGTGCCTTCAAATTGTGACATGCCTGGAAGGGGGACCCCACCCTTGGGGGAGGAGGAGGGGTGTTCTGAGAAGAAGTAACAGCACATTTATCTTGCAGCCCCACAGAGGCCCATTGTTGCACAGAGGACCCCAGCAACTCCCAAAGGCAGCACTGGGATGGTCAAAAAGGCTGCGGGAGATGATGAATCAGCGGGATTGATTGAGCAGGTGTGTTGCCAGAATGGCCTGAGGTACTGACCTGGGCTTTCTGTTGGATGTATAGGTATAGATATTTAATAGCATGAAATGGCTGTGCTGGGGAGAGACAGATCGCTTTCTTCTGTCTAGTAGGTTCATTTAAAGTGGCTTAATCAGAAGCCTTTGGTGTGCTGGCCTTGCTCTCCTGATAGCAGCAAAGCCCCTTTTGCAGTACAAGCCCCCAGACATTTAAATCTGCTGTGTCCCATATCGCACATAGCTTTGCTTTCAAGTATTTCCACAGCTGTGTTGCAGCTATCACAGCATTCCAACGGAGCTATGAGCAGCTGCTGCGTCCCCGAAATGCTGAATGCAATGGAGCTGAAGCTGCCACCAGTGAGGGCTGTCCTGGAGGAATGTGTTAGCAGAAGAAGCTGCAGGCAGTTGGATTTTTACCCATGTCATGCAATAAGCCTTTTAGAATTTCCATGTGGCATTGCATGTGTTGGGCTGGGTGTTGGCTGTAGAAATACTCCAACTTGAGAAACAGAACCTCCTCTTGCCCTCACAGCCTTTCCCTGATGTCTTGGTTACTTCTGAAATGCTTTGCTTACAAACACACCTCTGAGCATCTTGGGGGACCCCCACCTTGAGGGTAGATGCCACTGGTGGGTAAATCATTATTGATTCTTGTGGGCAGATCAACGTGTTGAAGCTTACTGTTGAAGACCTGGAGAAGGAGAGGGATTTCTACTTCGGCAAATTGCGGAACATTGAGCTGATCTGCCAGGAGAACGAAGGCGAGAACGACCCAGTGCTGCAGAGGATTGTGGAAATTCTTTATGCCACAGATGTAAGTCATCCTCCCCCCCCTGTCCTGCCTCACTATGGGAAGCTGTCTTGTTTCTTCTGCTTGCTTTCTTCCTTTTTTTTGTCCCCTTTAAATTTACATTGTTATGGTCAGGCCACAAGCGTGGCTGGGCTCACCTGAGGAGTTGTGTAACACAGAGGTCAAAGCTGAAGAAAGTGAGTTTGCTGGGGACACTGTGAGTGGTTGACTGAAGGGTGCTTCGTTGTCAGGATCCAAAGTAGGAATAACTAAAATGCAAGGAGCGTGCAGAGAGCTGGGAAGTGCTCGGGTGTTGGCTTCTCATCGAGCCTCGTTGTGTTCCCTGCAGGAAGGCTTTGTGATACCTGACGAAGGAGCGCCGCAGGAGGAGCAAGAAGAGTATTAACAGACCACACACTGTACCAGCAGAGCAGCAACATCGGAATTCTGTGCCCCAGATCATGTGCTTAACTGTAAAATACTCCACTTTATTCTTAGAGGACTCACTGGTTTCTTTTCATAAGCAAAAAAAGTTACCTCTTCTTAAAGTGCACTTTGCGGAAGTTTCACTCTTTTTGCAGTGGGTTTGAGTTAGAAACTCTCTCACTCTGTAGCAGAGCAGTATTCACATCTAGGTGGTATATTTAGGGAGCAAGAGGCTGAACATTTGGAACTTGTTGGTTTGCTGGTAAACACTGGTTCGTGGAAAGACTTTTTTTGTACCTGAGGTGGTGTGTAGTAGAGAACGTAAAGACTGACTCATGGAAAGATGGAGTTCATGTGAAATTGCAGCACGGAAATGATAATAAAATGCCTTAAGAGTATTTAAAATATGCTTCCAAATGCCAAAATTGAAGTAATGTGACAGGAGATTTTATGTGCTTCATCCTGGGGAGACGCTCCGCTCCCCTCCCTGCTGTCCGAGGGGCTCTTAAACAAACCTCCATTCCTGCATAAAGCTGCTTACTGAGTGATTAGTTCTCAATGAAATAGGCCTTAATGTTGCCTGTCACAAGATTAGAGGGAGTATGAACAGCTGAGACACATAAATTACCTTGAGGACTGCTAAAGCATTTTTTTACTATGGCATTGTGGCTGATGGCTTTGCCAAAACGTACTGTGTTTTCTGTATTAAAGAAAAAAAAAGCTCCATAAATGAAAGCAGAGGGCACCAGTCTTACTGCCTACAAGGTTCTCCTGAAGTACTTTCCTCCTTTCTGCTTGTTCTGTTTGTTTCTGTTGGTGTGCTTATGGCCTCGCACCCTTCCCTTCCCATCCCAAGGTGCTCTGGTCCAACCCCGTGGTTGCAGCAGGGTTGGGCTGTGTGCAGCTCATAGAATGAAAGTGAATTGAGCACATGAGGATGATGATTTTCTCTTTTCTTTTTGTTTTTTTTCCTCAGACCAGGGCTTATCTAATAGTAACACTTGCCAGTTCAGTGGTCTTCTGGGGTCAAAACTAAGAGATGCTGGCTAACAGAGCTAATGTTATTGCAGAAAATACAGTACTGAGACTAACTTAAATATTAATATTTAAAGTACTTTCTTTAATTGTCCCTTTTTTTTTTTTTTTTTTTTTTTTTTTTGCTCTCATGCCCCCTCATTACTGTTGTGTTTGGCAAGATCCTGCAAGACTTCTGATTCCCCTCCACTACTGAGATCCATCAGTCCTGTTGTGCTGTATTCATTCGTTCCTGGTGGTAGCTTGTCCTAAAACGTGTGTAGGAGAGCATCTTATGGTAATTGTTGTGTAGTGCATGAATCTTTGTGAAATTCAGAGAAAAACCCAAATTCAGTGAATGCCAAAAAAATGCAAGTATCCAGCCATTGTTTGAAATTGCAGTGGTGCTATTTCTCTTGTGGCCTTTTAGACTTTCGTTGCCCTAAAACTCCATTTTACTGAGAAAACCATATTTGACTTGGATTTTTCTTGACAGGGTTTTTCTATTTTAAGCAGTTTCTAAATAAAGTTCTGTATTTCAAGAGTGTCATGTCTGCTGGAGTGTCTCGTGCTTTCAGATGTGGTCAGGCAGCCCTAGAGCTCGCAGTGCTTCTCATGGTTGGAGCATTGAGGCCCTGCAGTGTCAGCTCTCACCCTCCAACCCTAGCTGTGTGTCCCTGTGGGTAGCAGGAATGCTGAAGCTTCCCTTGGAGTGTGCTGGGGGAAGCATTGCTGCAGTTCATCCCCACCACTGAGATGTTGTCCTCCTGCTGTGCTCTGTGGGTGCTTTGTTCTGTAGGGTGGACATCGCTGGTGCTGGAGCTGGGGTTGCACTGCAGGAGTGCAGATGTGGAACCCGGGGGCTTTTGATGCACATAAAATCTTCTTGACCATTACTTGGTTACTTGGAGCTCAGAATCATGCTTCCACCGACTTGAAATGCTGCGTTATTCCACCGGTGATGTGCTGGGATGTGGGGCTGCCTGAGGTCTGTGTGGTGAGGATGAGGTTTGCGTGGGACTGCGGGGCACCCAGGTCAACCCGTGGGCTGCGTGGGGTTGGTTCTGAGCTCTGCTACTAAAAGCCAGCCAATGTGCTCTTCTGCTGGGAGTCAGAAAGCTGTGCTTTGTGAGACTGGACGCGCGGTCCTACCCGATGTGCATTGGAACTCAACTGAAACTGCAGTCTTCTAAGTCAAATGCTGCTAAGATTTCCAGTTCCTTACATCATTTCTGTGCCCCCAGGGTGGGGGGCAGCCTCGTGGTCAGCTTAAATGGCCACATCATAGGTAATGTTGGTACAAGCTGTTGCTGGTGTCCTTTTTGGGAAGCAAATGACAATTAGCTCAGCTCAAACCCACAGACCTGACACAGCTACTCTGCTATGTGGTACAGTATGTGCTGTTAATCTGTTGTACTGCTCACCTATGGAGCAGCCCAGCCTTCCTTAGTGTCTTAGTTTTGTCAGATATTTGAAATACAGGCGGAATGGAAGAACCAAAAGCTCAGTCTCCATTCTGCCTGACTTGGGCTCGTGGATGTTTTCTAACTTTTATTGTTCAATTTTTTTCAGAAATCCTGGTTTGCAATGACAATTCTTACTGTAACTGTTGAAAGCCTTCAAATAAAGGCCAAAAACTTGCTGATGTTGTATCATCGGTATTTCGTGGGGCTGCTTGAGATATGAGACTAATCTGGTGACCATCTTTCTTCATTTGTGTACCAGCACGAGGAATAATAGCGTGGGCTTATAGCACCGCTGGGATAACTCCAATGTGCAGAACTTTAAACCAAGGATAGAGGCTGCTTGGTAAAGGTTGGACAAGAAGTCTTCGTGCTTGGCTGTTAGATGAGGTGTATCTCATAATGAAGGTTGGGAAGGGGAAAGCACGTAGCTGGCCTAAGATCTGGGAGGATGGGTGTACTTACATCCTCATTAAGACAACCTCTGTCTTCCATTCACAGCATTGTAGGGGTTGGGAGGGAACTTAGAGATCATGGAGTCCAACCCCATGCAAATGTTTGTCTTTCCTCTGTAATAGAGAAGAAAGGAACAAAGTTCAACTTCAGCTTTGGTGTTTTCTGAGATCAGAGTTGAAGGCAATTTCAGCTTTGGTGGCACAGGGGCTGATTTCTCTAAGATCAGCTCTTTCCTCTGAGCACAGCTGACTGGCTTGCTGAACCGTGGTCTTCATGTATGTACACTTATAATTGCATTTATTTATACAAATGTGTAATACAGAGAATACAGTTTCATCTTCCAGGACCTCGTTCAAGTCTACAGGGCCAGGATAAGAGCATCCCAGCGTTCAGAACTGGCTGAGCTGCTCTCCGTGTCTGAAGAATGGTGACTGTCAGGTGAAGTTCTCAAGGCGTGGATTTGGATGGGCAAAGTGCAACAGCTACAGCAGGGACAGATGCTTTGGTATGTGTGCTCACTGCTTTGGGTGTCTGGTATCTTGGAGAAGCACCTTCAGACACTTCATGTGCCACGGCAACGACACTCAGGCTCAAGGTGTAACAGCAGAGCAATGGCTGCAACCTGCAGCTCCATTCCAACTGCCTCGGTGAAGCTTTGATTAGCAAAGGGCATTCACAGCACGACTTCAAAGTTGCACAGGGGTTCCGAGTGCAAAATCACTGCATGCATGCCTGCTGCTTTCCATCTGGCACGTGTGAGCAGCCCATTGCTGGGTATTGCTTTAGCAGGTTTGGATGCAAATAGTTGTGCATGGCAACGGGTAAAAGTTACAGATAAGATTAGTGATAAGGACTTTGGTGTGTTCCTGCTGCTGACTGCGATGTTTCATAGCTCAGGTAATGTCACTGTCCTCTGGAGAAGGATGAGGGCATCCTCCTGGCTGGCATTGGCTTAATGAAGCACTTCCTAATTTTGGAACGGTGTCCCTTATAAGATGTGCTGATAAATGCCTCCTGTAAGTGGGTTCTTTTTTGGGATTTGGGTTGGTGTGGCTGTTCTCCTTCATGGCTCTGTTTATGCAGATGGAACGGCTCGATCAGGAAGATTGAAGAATGGAGGTGGCTCTCACCTGGAGAAGGCTGTGGTGAGTTTGGAGAGGGGGAGTTATGGCACATTCACAGGGGGAAACCTCATGTATTCATAGGGGCAGCCTGCCAAGCCAGCTCTCCTAAACCAAGCATAAGGTAATGAATGAGGGCTGGGTGCTGGAGAGCTGCAGTCAGACGTCAGTGTAATGGGGGAGCTTCAGGCTTACTCTCTTTGTAGGTTCTCTTGTGCTTCTTGGTTTTCTCTTGGCATGGAATTCCTGGACATCAGTGGGATCTTTTGCCTGCCCAGAGGGGACAGAGATGCTGTGGCCTTGGATTATGGGATGCAGGTGAAGTCACAGGAGATGGAGTGGAATGACTGACGTACAGTGTGAACCTGGGACCTGCTGGGAGAGGTCCTGCAGGAAAAGCACTGCTCACGGAGCCAGGTGCATCCCCTGGGCTGCAAACCAATGCTCTGCTTCTGGAGGCGACGCTGTGGGTGCAGCACTGAGCACCATCAGTGCATTACTGTCCTTGAGGTCTTCACGCAGTGCCTTTTCTGGGTGTTTGTGCCATGCACAGCCCTGCTGAGGCTGAGGCACCCCTCAGGAGCTGTGTGCTCAGCAGTGATGGCCTCGGAGCCTTTCCTGTAAGGCAGTGCAGTATTTTTATTGCTCGTAAGCCACCAGCATAATATAAATATTAATACTCCCTTAGTCCCTGCTTTCTACTCGCTCTCAGTATTTAAATCCACTTTCTATATTCTAATGGGCTCTTTCTTTTTTGTGAAGCAGCATGCTGGGCTAGGTGGACGTCCCATCTATTCCCCTACAAGCAAAGCGTTTGCTGTGAAACATGGAGGCTCAAACCCTGGTGCCATGAGGTGAAATCTTTCTTCTCTTCCAGATGCTCCTGGGGAACTGGTGCCACCAGATAAAGCTCATTCCTGAGCTCAAGCTTGTTGCCTCCTGCTCAGCAACTGATAAGGGAGCAGCGATGCTTGCTTGGCCATGAAATAACACAGGGGAACTCCAGTAAGACAGGTCTCAGCCTCTGTTCTGTAATGTATCTGTTGCACAATGGTACCGGGCGATGCTGCTGGCATCTCAACGTTGCCTTCCCTCCAGGTAAAACCGACCCGTACCAAACTTTTTAGGGCTGTGGGAAATGTGGATTAGAGAGAAAATGTGGAAGAGGCTCAGTTTTGTTTGCGCTGTCCTGCGAGTAAATGAAGCTTTTGAAAGCTCCTGCAGGAGGAGAATGAAGGGGTGCAGGATCAGCTCCTATTACATTTGGGGGCATCCCCTGGCTGGGGCAGGCTGTGGGTCAGGGGGGCTCAGAGCTGATGGCTGTGCTGTTCTCACCCCTAGGATGCTCGAGGGCTCCTTGCTGCCTGCACGAACTGGGCATCCTCCTTGGTCTTCACCTCCCTCCATTGCTCAGTTTGGCTTTCAGTCCTGTTTCTCTGCTTTTTCCTGTACGTATTACACAAGTTTCATTCCCACCATTTGAATTTGTCTTTTCCTTTTCTTACCATCACTCCCATGGCTGTTTTTGTATGCTTCTCCTTCCTGTCTCATTCGTTTTCTCCCCACTTTTCCCCTCTTAAGGTTCCACGTGCTTGCTTTTCCCTTTCTCCAAAGCGCTCCAAAAGTAATGCCTCCTATTTTATGGTGTTGCCCCATGATGTCAGAGGCGGATGTTGGTGGGATGTAGCAGTAGAGGTTGTACCTTCTGTGTATCTGAATACTCAATTCCATGTTGTTGCCATGTGATGGATGGCAGCAGAGGGGCAGTCTGCCGGAATGGCATCTGACGTGGAAGTGAGGATGGAGCAAAGGTGTTACACTGAACGCCTCCATGCAGAAAAAAAGACACCTGCTGACATTCACTGATGTTTGGTGAATGCTGACGGAGCACAGTGAGGTGGTAGGTGATGCGCTGCAGAGTGGAATGGTTTGCAGGCTCTTCATCGCTGCCTAAAAGGCACAGCTCATGGTGGTGACCGTAAAAGAACGGTGTCATGTGGCTGAGAATCTGCTCTATCGACAATCGTCGCCGTGCTCTTTGTAGTTTCCGTGGAAACAAGCAGGAGGCATTACTTTCGGAGCAAGGGTTCCGAGGCAGTCCCTCCTCGGGCCGCGCGGTTCCGGAGCGGAGCGCCACCAGGGGGCGCTGTTGGGCCGCGATTCACACGGGCGGCGCCGTCCCTGCGCGGTGATCCCGTTTCGTTTTGCCGCTCGCTCTTCGCCCTCCAAGCGGCTTTTGCCACTTCTGTCCCGCTCCCCAAATATTCCCCCATACAGGCAGCTTTCGTTCGTTTCTCCCTTTGCCTCTTTTTCCTCTCTTTTTTTTTTTTTTTTCCATTTTCCTTGATTTTCTCTCACTTTTGCCTCGGGACCCCCTCTGCTCATAGCCCGGCGCTCTCCTCCTCCTTGCTGACCCTTTCACACACATCTGCCCTCCACAGCCACTGCTGAGCTCCGTGCTGTGCTGCAGGGGACCCGCAGTCATCTCCACGCATAGCCGTCCACCTCTGCTCATATCCCACCAGCGATTGCTTTGAGAGAGAGGCATTGTCTGTTTTAATGGCTCCCTGGAGACGGCTGCTGTAGGCAAAATGCCATGAAGGTGTTTTCTTTTTGCTGCTCTGTGGTTGTGACGATGCACGCTGATCATGGCTGTTATTTCTGATACTTGCTGCTGCTTCGTTAGCAGCGCAGAGATTCGTGTCTTAATCAGCTGCTCTGCGCTGATGGCAGCAGGGAACTGCAATGGTTCTGTAGGAGCTGCTGAGCAGGAGGCCCTACAAACTGAATTTCAGAGCTCGCCTGCCACCTTCACAACAACTCAGCAGCATCATGCAGTTGGGATTTTCCTGCTGCCCTGCTTTTTTTTTTTCCCCTGCCTGACTTTAGTTGTGTGTTCACAGAATTTTGCCACCCTGCGCGTGACGGAGCGCTTTGTCTGTTGGTAGGAATGTGCTGATGGACGGCTCTGTCTGTGCTGTTTGTTACAGCACGGCAACTTCTGCGCATGCATCACCTTCTGGGGCAAGCAGTGTTGGTGGGAGATGGGCGATCCTGGCGGGGAGATGAGCACTGATGAAGTATTTCAATATCTGCTGAGATCTAATGACTTCCTCGTTACTATCACAGCACTGCAGGTGCCCTTAATGCATTGTTTCTCCTTTAGCATTGTCACAGAGCCTCCAGTTTCAGTTTAGAGATCTCCTAAACTCAGTTATCATGCTGTATCTGATTGCTATCGCCTTCTGCTTGTTGCGAGCTAGCAATGAGTTTGTTCTTGTTTGCACAGCTGCGTAAGGAAGAGCTCTGGATTTTCTTGCTGGAAAGTACTGGTGCATGCCTGATGTGACCCCAGGGCTGTGGGTGCTGGCTGTGCCCTCGGCAGAGCATCCTTTGGGTGATCTTTAAGGTCTCCCCAACCACAGCTGTGATGTGACGGCTCCCAGTGCCTGTGGCAGCTGATGCTGCTGTGCTCCTGATGCTTATTGTTGGAGCCAGCAGACAGCATTCAGTGCCCTGTGACGTAAGGACAGCCGGGAGCATCAATGGAGGCTTTCACAGGACGTGACTCACCGCCCATGGAGGAGCCAGGAGGGATCCATGAGAAGCGTGCAAAAGGAACAAAAAGGTTTTGTGCAAGCTCTGAGCCAGGCTGATGGCAGGGAAACCCAGCGGGGGACCTCATCCACCCCGTCTGAACAGTGCCCTGTGTGTGCAGTGCTGCTGCTGCTTTGCTTTCCACTGGGCATCGGCATCTGCCTCCGATGCATCTGGGAGGAGCTGAAGGGAACTTCAGCAAGTAGAGGTTAGCCTTTCTCCCATGGTGTCTCTCTGTTCTCACTTCTTTCAGTTCTGCTTTGCTTGGTTTCCTGATCGCTGGCATCGTTGTGCCAAGAGAAAACCCATGGAGAGGCAGTTGGTGCCTGCAGCCATGTGTGGGTCACGCAGCTTTGTGGGTAGGAGTTGTGCCCGCTGCTGCGAGCTGCAGTGAGCCTTTCTTAAAACATATCTCCTCGACACCAACCAAGCAGGCTTGTTTTGACACCTAATTAAGTTAATTTAGGGGGCTTAATGCAGTTCAGCAGCAGCTGAAATCAGTCTCCCATCCGATCTGATATATCGATTCCACTGGTGCTTTGTCCGTAAACCTCCTCCTGTCTCTGTGCAGCTGTAATTGTGTTTGAGAAAGGGAAAATTATATCTGTGCCCACACACCCAGAGTGTGTAATTACTGCACTGAAATACCTCTGGGGTGAGCTGAGACCGCCCCAGGGACAGGAAGGAGTTCATCAGATCTTTTCTCTGTGGATTCTGAGCTGTCTTAGAGCTGTTGGCTCTTATGCTCTGGTCTGGAGGGGATGGCAGAGGGGCTGCAGGGCTGCCCAGCAGCTGCCAACACTGCCAGAGTTTGTGGGGAATGGTGCTGCTGCTCTCATCAGCATTGCTTGTTCATTGAGGTCAGTGCAATGAGGAGCTCTCCCCTGTAGTCAATGTGTGCTTCTCTCTGGTTTTGGGCCTCTGGCAGCAAATGGCTCTGCTGGAGCCAATGGAGGGTCCTCCCTCAGGGGGTTCACGTGGAACCCAGAGCACCTTGCACCCCTGCAGCACTGTGGGCTCCTGCTGGAGCAGCGATGGTGGGCAAAGCCCACCCAGCAGAAATCTCCTCCCTGCCATGCAGCATGGGGCAGAACTTCAG